TCAACACATCAGAAGATGCTGGACTGAAAAACATTTGGATGGTGGTTCACCTTATCGGGAAATACTTTTTCTTTCTTTCTGGTAGATGGTTAGCAGGCTGGGGGGTGGGTGAGTTCTTGCTTTCATCGAAAAGACAGGGAACTTTTGGAAGTGGGGAAGAGAGATAGAGACAGGGGCCACATCTGGCAGAAGACACATCCTGATGTTATAAAAATTACAGGCTCCTTCTCTCTCTCTCTTACACACACACACGTTAAGCAGCCTGTCTTGTTAAGAACACAAAAAACAAAAAGACTGGGTCTGTTTTAGCTCAGGGACCTCGATTTTTCTGGGACAGAATCCGGTAAAAATGATAGACTCCTTCTCTCTCTCTTTATCTCTCTCTCTCTCACACACACACACACACACACATTAAGCAGCCTGTCTTGTTACGAACACAAAAAACAAAAAGACTGGATCTGTTTTAGCTCGGGGACCTCGATTTTTCTGGGACAGAATCCGATTCCTCGCTGTATGTACCGTGCTTAGAAATGTCAGCTTTCCTCACATGTTCTTTTTAAAATCCCACCCCATGCAGACGAACCGCACAAACAAATACACCTGGCCACCGGCATAGGCCTCTGGGGAGCCCCCCCCCCCCCCCCCACGCAGACGAACCGCATGAACAAATACACCCGGCCACTGGCATAGGCCTCTGGGGAGCCCCCGCCGTTCTTTAATACGTGGAGGAGAGGGACCTGCTGAAGCTATTTCTGCTCTGCTTGGGAGTCTGGGGTGGGTTTGGAGAGGAAAGAAAAGACAAAGGGAGAGGGAGAGGGAGAAGAGAAGCAATCCGCATGATGTTTCTGAGCCTAACATGGCAAACAAGCACCGTTGATGCTCCATGTGGTGGATCTGGAGGTGTGTAAGCGCACAAGTGTGCAAGGGAGAGCAGACCAACAAGCCCGTGTGAGGCACGGACTTCAGTTGGGCTTGTACCTCATTTCGCTCAGTGCGGCTTCCCTCTCTTTTTAAAGGAAGAGCTGCCTTGTGCCTCATTTGGAGGCGAGAAAGGCTGAGTTAACAAATCTAAGAAATAATCCTTTGCATGGATTTAGAAGTCTTTTCAGGACACATAATGCTTGCAAATTCTCAGAGGCAAGCTTTGGCGCTCAGCGCCACTGATCGGCAGTAAACGTCCTAATACAGGCAACAGTAGGATAAAAACGGTTAGCCAGCAGCACCTTGCGTCTCTAAAGAACCCTCAGGAATGTTAAGAGGGGGGATAAAGCAGTAATGTTGTACTGGATTTTCTGCTTTCTCCTGCCTTTTCTTTGCACCCATTTCTGCGTGACAGCTAGAGAACGGGAACGGATGATTCCCCCCCAAGGAGTAGTAACAACAACAAATCAAAAGGTCCCTTGGAAAACAGATCCTGCATCCAAAGAATTGAAATATAGAAGATGGCAAGTTTGCAACTCAAAGTTGAGGACACATTGTCCCTTCTAGAGACGTAATGGCTTCAAAGCTCCATGACCAAGCAATCAGACTTTCAAATGAAGCCCTGGTTTGCCACCCAGTAACCAATCACATGACAAAAGCAAGCTTATTTGCTACATGAAAGGTGAAGAAAACCCATGCTAGGAAAAAATAGACATGCTGCCTGTATCCTCGTTGTGTCTCTTGATCTGAGCTTACCTTACGGGGTTGGGGCGAAGCTAACGGGAAGAGAACAGGAGCCACGTACACCATTTTGAGCTCCGTCGAGAAAGAGGTGGATAAAATCGTAAAATCAAGTTTTTATCAAAGTTGTGCTGAAATGTGACAGATGCTATCGAAAAACGTAAGGTGTTTGAAACTCCTTGAACAGAGGAAAACTATCCGAGGGGTGTTTGGTCTCTCCCCCACCACCACCACCAAGAGTACTACTCAAGAGTCGGGTTACCTACCTTAACGTACTCGCTGTAAGGGAACAGAGGAAAACTATCCGAGGGCTGTTTGGTCTCTCCCCCCCCCACCACCAAGAGTACTACTCAAGAGTCAGGTTACCTACCTTAACGTACTCGCTGTAAGATCCAAGTCCATCTTGGTGCCTGGAAAGAAATTAAACCAAGAGCACATCAGTAGGTGGGCAGGAGATGCTGAAATACAAGGAAAGTTGCTGACAACGGACGTGTCCGCGTGTTCAGGGGGAGCAGGAAGAGACACAGCCAGGGATCGGGGCCGCAGAAGGAAGGGGGAAGCTGCTGCTCCCAACGATGTAAGGCGGCCACATAGACATACCAAAAAGAGGGCAAGAGGGGACACAGATATGGCCTTAAAATGCAAAGGCTAATGGGTACAGATCCTGCTCTTTAAATCCTGGCCAGCCTTTCCCATGGAAGGCACTCATAAAAGGAGGGTGGTCTTTTCGGAGGACTTCAAATGAAGGATCATCCTCCCTAGAAGAGGACACATGGCCACCCTAGAGCAAGGTGGTCGGGGGAGAAAACGTACCATTGGATCCCCACTGTTCCCCGAAAACCTGAGGCTTAGGCAGCATTTTTTAAAAAAACATTGCTGGAAGCAGATAACGCAACAAATCCATCTCTATATTGCTCGGCTTATTAGGGAGCCGTTTAAAATGTAACACAATAATCCCTTTGTCTCGTAAAAGACAATCGCCGCTTAACATAATGCGTTGATAAAAATCTGCCTAATTTGGCTCGGCACCAGATTTTTTTATGAAGCTCTTCCGTTCTGGCTGGCAATGGCACCCCCCCTCCAGATTTCCAGTTTTGACGCAACTAGGATTCATGTGAAAACGTGTGTCTTTTTTTAAATGTCTCCTTGGAGGAAGATCAAACCTGGTGGGCCACTTAATAAAGAAATCAAGATAGATAGACAGATAGACAGACAGACAGATAGACAGACAGACAGACAGACAGACAGACAGACAGACAGACAGACAGACAGATAGATAGGCAATCTTGGCAGGTTGCAGCAGAAAAAGGGTTAAACTTCTTTGCCCTTCCTAGGAATTATCTCTACACATGCACATACGTGTGTGTGTGTGTGTGTGTGTGTGTGTGTGTGTATGTACTTTCTCATACATATCTATGAGGGCGAAGTGAAGCCCTTCAGAT